TTAATTCTCCATTTTGTCGTGTCTTCCCGGAGCGCAGCCGGGCCGAGGCCTCGGCCTCGCTGCCGGCCCGGCCGCCGCCGCAGGGGCCGGGCGAGCGGCTCCGTCCCGCGGCCAGGCCGGCAGCCGGATCTGTCCCTCCCGTGGGCACCGCGAGGCATCCGGCCCCTGGCGCGCCTCCATCCGCCCGCCCGCGCGCGGGAGGCTTCCCCTCTTTGCTGCAAAATCCCCCTCTGCCAAAGCAGCATCGTAAACTCCCCGAAAGTCATCGTGATCAAGTGACTGTTTTTGCGGCATCTCCCTCTGTTTCTTTGCGCTCCCACTGGCGGATGGGTGCCCCCTGCCCCCTCTGGAGCTCGGAAACGCTGTGGGAAGATGCTTGGATTTCAGGTTTTCCTCCCTGGAGAGGAAGAAAGGGCGGCAGCAGCAGTGGGCCCAAGGCTTGCGAGTAACGCAGAAAGCCCCTCCTCTCCCCCAAAATGGAGTTTGAGCCTCTCCTGCTAATGGAGGTGCCTCCTTCTCCCCTCCATCTCCAAAGGAAACCTGGGACAGAAGAGCCAGGAGGCTCCAGATGCTGTGAAAAGCTGGACCTTGCTAGTAGCTTGCTAGTAGCTTGCTAGTAGCTTGCTAGTAGCTTGCTAGTAGCTTGCTAGTAGCTTGCTAGTAGCTTGCTAGTAGCTTGCTAGTAGCTTGCTAGTAGCTTGCTAGTAGCGTTGCTTCTGGTTGTGTAGCCCCCTTAGGCCTGTGTGAGTGGTTTGTGTTCGCACTTATCCTCTATTTTGTGTCCAGGCCAGGGAATGGGGAGGATGAGCCGCTCACTGGGCACCCTGGGAATAGGTGGTCTGGTTATTTGTTGGTGTTGTGCATAACGTAAGGATAAAGGTTGTGGCAGAGGGAAACTGAAAGCAAGGCCTTATGCATGCGGGGGCTGTGAGGGATTTGTTATGGGGTCCTCGCAACACTGAGCAAGACCTGGCTCTGCCAGGCCGGCCCCGTGCTCTGGAATGTAACCAGAGAGCTTCACTTCTTCTCCAGCCAACTCTGGTTGGCTCTACTGCCACTCGCAGTGGCATAAAACTGTTGATTAACGTGGCTCTCAGGAAGTTGGAGTAATTATAACTTCATTATGACAGAGATCACATCCTACAAGAGCAGGAAAAAGACACCTTGGGGATTGGAATTCAGTAGTGAAAAATCTCAAGGGGAGGAGGGAAGATGAGCATCTTCCATGTCGAATTCTTGACTGGAAATGAGTTTCTTTGGTCAAAATCAGTTTGCACCAATACACCAGGGGGTGTAGTGGATGTGTCTACAGGAGCTGTGTGTTTGTTTTCCTGTGGCTATAGCTCCTCAATATAGCACTTAAATGGGCCTGTGTCAGAGCTGCAAGCGTGCTGTACCTCAAACTGTCAGAGGGCTTATTTCCTCGGGAAGCTTCAAGAATTGGAAAGACTGCAGAAAACAGAACCATGCAGGTGTTGCTTAAATGGCTGTTGAGATTTTTCTGCTTTTGCATATATAAAGTGTTTCAAATATATATATATAGATATATAAAATATATAAAATTTGCAGGTGAATTGACACTGCATTAGCATTTGGTGCTTCGAGCACTTGTACAAAGTAGCCCCTTTGCAGACAAAATGTGATGGCTTAGTGCTGGGTGTCGCTTCCCACAGGTGGACTCAGGGTTAGCTTCTGACTTGGAGACTGAGGCCATCAAGCCTTTTAAGAAGCAGGTTAGTAAATAACGGAGCAGGGCTGTGTCACACAAGCAGTGTTTCCTCTGAGAAGCAGTTGCAATGATGAGTTTAACATTTATAGGTCAGTTTTCACTTGTAAATTACTTTAGGCTCAAAAGTAGTTACAATTAAAGCTAATTGAATTTAGCTCATCCTTACTGTGCTCAAACAGAAGGTTAGTGCAGTTCCTCATCACTTAACTTTGTTAATCCAGAGAGGAGGTCTGATGTCTAACTATATTTGTCTAGAAAACCAGACATGCCTGAGAGGTGTCACAGATTTTGCTTAGGCATTTGTTTGATGACCTTCTGAAAAAAATAAGCTATTTAAAAGCAATGCATGAGACTTTAAAGTTTCTTGCACACAATAAAATAATACAAAGGGAAGAAATCTTCGTTACAAATATGGCCCATACATTTAAGGGTATCTTGGAGATGAAGTTTTCAGTAAGACTGCAAATGCTGCAGAAAAACTTCACTTGGCGCGCAGTTGAAAAAGTTAAGTCTATTTGCTTTTGTTACTTTATAGTTGCTTTAAATTTCAGAGGATTTTGTGGGGTCTCAAGCTTAAGCCTTTTAATGCATTTACATATTCACAATGCAGCATCCGCCCCTTAATTGCTGCCAAAGGTTAAACTGGAGATCTTGTGTAGAGGGAAGGATGGCAGCAGTTTAGGTATCAGTAGCAGGAAATACAGGGTACGTTGTGGGCCTTGATGTGTGCTCAGCCTGTGCGACCTTGAGAGAAATAATTTACAATGTTGGTGTCTTAGTTTAAAGCTTAACTTGTGGACAGGATGAGGTACAGCAGCTATTTCTCATGCTCTTTGTACAGAGTAGAGCAAAATATTGCCAGTTTACCCGATTCCTTTTTGTAATCAAAATATGAAAGTAATGTTTTTAGAGAGAAAAACAAGAATTGCCAAATGTTACTGGAGCTGTAGAAATTCTGGTGAAGAGGCTTTGACTAAAGAGGTGTGGGAGACCAGAATTTGGAACAAAACCTCAGGCTTCCACATTCTGAGCTAGGCCTAGAAGTGGTTCCTGGCTTTTTCCATCAACTTGCAGTGAGGTTGGTTCTGTCCAGCACTTTGTCTAAATGTTGGCTAATGGCATTTGAGAGGTTGGTAATAAGCAACACAAAAATGCCCTTGGTGAATGTAGTGTTTCAAGGGTATGTCACTGAAATGTATGGTGAACATGTCTTGTTGTGTCTGTCATTATGCACCTATTTCAGGGCTACTTGGCTACTTAGGCCTGTTGGAAGAGGTTTTCAGTGTGTTGCGGTTACGCCTGTGTCTTTGTACGGCAACTTTAAAACCTTTTGAACTCTGAAATGGACTGAGTTGCTGCTTCTCAAGTTACTTCAGGTTTCAGGGCTATTTTTTCACTGAGCTTGAATTGTCTTACTAAGCAATTATTAATTCTGTGATGGTCTAGTTTGGGAAGCAGTGAATCTGGAATTTGGATGGTTAATTATGAGTTAATGGGTCAGGTTAATTGCTCTGGGTGCTGTGTGTATAAGGTTGTGCCACCAGAAGCACATCCACCACTGTTGACTTGGCATCTTCTTGACATGGCCTCCTGATTCTTCTATCAGCTTCTTTAGTATTGTGGCCTTAGCTAAGTAGAATTTAGCAAAAAAAAAAAAAAAAATTGCAAGAGTTATTTTGTACCCAGTGTTGTCAGCTTTCCATGGTATATTATATACCTGCAAAAACTTCTTAAATACTGCATTCATTTGAAAGGGACTTAGTGGCACCACAGCCGTGTTTAGAAACATCTTCTGAGCCTTATCGCCCGCTGTAACATCTCACGTAGCAGCCACCTTGTGCATTGGCTGGATGAATGCTGGCTCTTTCAATGCTGCCCCGTTAATTGAAAATTTGAGACCTTAAAATAAGGTGTGCAATTCAGTAATGGTTTTGTTTTCGTGGAAATGAACCTGAATTGGAGCTAATAGAAAAGGCTGTTAAATATTTTCTACAAGTTTCAGAAGCTTCCGAGGAAGTAAATGGATTTACTAGTCTATATTAATCAGATGTTTCATCAAAAACACCCTTTTGATCATTTTCAGTATTTTTTTTGGTGTTTTTTGAATAAGGCTGCTAAAATGGTTTCCAAATTAAACTAGTTAAAAGCATTAATGCTGCGGAGTCTTCTTTGCAGGTAGCAGCAAGGAACTGCCACCACTGTCATGTTTGATGGATTATAGCTGGTCATCTCAGCCACCTGATGCTCTCCTTTCCTGTAGCTCGGGGTGTGACATGCACAAGTTCATCTTGCTAAATTACTAAAAGACAATTTGCTGCCTCACGTTGTTTTGTTAAAACACTGTGTTTTACTACTTTGACACTCATTAACAAGATGAATAATTCTACCACAATGAACTGCTTAGAAAAATAATCTGGCAGTTTGCAGGATCTCTTCACATATAAAAACTCTAATTTCAGCTGTTAATGTTGATCGAGTTTTCATGTTCTAAGTGGTGGAAAGGAGCAGCTATGATGAGCTGTGCTGTTTAGTTTATTGAAAATATCTTTAATATCTTTCATTTGGATTTAAACTTCTGGATTAATTTTCGAATAAGGAAAGATTGGCCTAAATCGAAATTGGTAGGCTTTCTGCAAGCAAGGGTTGGCAGCCAAACAAAGGCTGCATTGTGTGTTAATTACCCTATTTTTAGAACATGATCAGGGAGCCCAGATCGGTAGCAGAGAAAAACATGCAGAAATAATTCAGCCCTGATTTTAAATTGGAATTTTGTAGTCAGTTTCCTTGTGGAGACTCTTCCCCCTGTCTTCCCCACCCCTTAAAGAATAAACAGGCACTACCTAGAAAAAATACAAAATGCTACAATAATAGTTGAGCATTTGACTGAG